CAGCAACCTCACACTCCTGGGCTCAAGCAATCCTACTGCCTCAGGCTCCCAAGTAGCTGGGACTACAACATGTGCCACCATGTCCAGCTAACTTTTTCTATATATGTTAGTTGGACAATTAATTTCTTTCTATTTTATAGTAGAGACAGGGTCTCGCTCTTGCTCAGGCTGGTTTCGAACTCCTGACCTGGAGTAATCCACCCACCTCGGCCTCCCAGAGTGGTAGGATTACAGGCGTGAGCTACCGCACCCGGCCTCACCTGTATGTTCTTTTAAAGGGAGTTCAGGAGAGTTGAGGCAGCTCCTTCTCCCCCAGGTTTTCTAGCCTGGGTTGGTCTTCCAGGCACCTCCTGGTGGTGTTTCTTCTCCTTACCTGAGCCAGGCCTGGCTTCAGCAGAGGCCCTGGTCATAAGAAGGCTGGAGGGTAGCTCTCTTCTGTTCATGTGTCACATTAGGCCTGGGGCTGTCACTCTAAGATGGTCCACGCCCCTCCTGTGAAGACTCTTCTCCCAGCTCTGGCCGCTGTTCCCCAGTTCTTGGGGCTGCCCCCAACACTGGCATTCCGTCAGGATGCTGGTCCACGGCTCCCTGCCGGCAGAAGGCTCTGCGTGGAGCAAAGGCTGGCCGTTCCCGGGTGTGCCTCAGGAGGCGGATGAGGCCGGCCACTGGCCAAGCTGAGCGCTGGCGAGAACTGCCTCTCTGGAGACCCCGCAGCCATCCCGCCCACCACAGAGCTTCCCGCTGGCTGTGGGGAGATGCACTGGGGGGCCAGCCTCAGGTGAGGGCACACCAGCTTCACCTCCGCTCACCTGGGCCAGCCGGATGACTGCTTACTCGCCTGGAGAGTGTTCAAGGACAGCAAGAAAAATGAGGGACTTTCAGGGGCAGCTGTGTTTTCTGACTCAGTCATAATGCCCCTAAAAATCCTTATTGTTCTTGCAGTGTGCATCGGGCAGCCGCGGTGGCCACCAACCTCCCCTCGCCCGCTCGGCCCCTCTGGGATGCGAGGGACTTTGTGGGGTCAGATTGGAATGTACCTCCCCAAAATAAGAGTGATGGGGACTTGCTGATGATTAAAACAATGTTGTTTGCATACATTAGCGTCTGTTAGTGGAGGGCTGGGGTGGGTGAGGGTGGGGAGGGCTGGGCGAGGAGACATTCCTGCGCAGGACGGAGCCCCGGAGGGTACAGGGTCTCCCTGGCGTGCGTGCAGGGAAGGTGTGGCAGAGCCCAGCCGCGTGTGTGGCGCAGTGCCCAAGGAAGGTCGTCTTTGGGGTCACTTACGCTGAAGGCAAGAGTGTTGGACGGATGCCCCCCTTTCCTGAGAAGTTGGGGCAGGAGGGCAGAAGGCACCTGGGCAGGAACTTGCATTGTTTTTTTTTTTTTTAAATAGAGGGAGCCTCAGAATCTGCTCTCTGAGACCCACCGACCTGGCCATTTTGAAAATAGTTGCAGTGAATTTGGGGTCTTTTCCCCTCCACTGTGACCCTGGAGCTTGCTTTTCCTTGGCGGAATGTTCTCCATCCCTGTTTCCCTTCATGGGTCTCCCTCATTCTCAGCAGACGCCCCCACCCCACCTGGTCCAGCCCATGCCACAGATACAGTCACACGCTGCATGACGTTTGGGTCAGTCGTGGGTCCCGTGAACAGTGGTGGCCCCGTAAGATTATGCTGCCATATCTTTGCTGTGTCTTTTCTGTGTTTAGATATGTTTAGATACGTACATACTCACCGCGTGTCGCAGTTGCCTACAGCGTTCAGTAACATGCCGGACAGGAGTGTAGGCTGGGAGCAGCAGCCCGCACCGCCCGGCCTGGGTGTGCGGTAGGCTCTGCGGTCCGGGTCTGGGCGAGTGCACTCGGTGATGTTTGCGCAGCCACGAAACCACCTGACTGCATTTCTCAGGACGCACCCCCATCTTAGTTAAGCGATGCGTGGCTGTATTTTGACTGAGCCAAGGCCTTATCTTGGGGGTGGATGTGCGGTTCCGGAGAAGATTGTCAAGGAGCAGAAATATGTTTTTAAATGGAAACCAAGCTGTGACATGCCTCTCCTACCCACCACCACCACCGGTCTACAAGGATGTCACCGAATCCGGAAGCAGCAGAACCTTGCTCTCCGGCTGAGATGGGGCCTGCTCCAGCGGGTCCGCCCCGTGTCTCGTCGGCCTGATGGAAATCCATCCTTGAGATATTTCTAGGGCCCCCAGGTGCCAGCTCAATAGCTCTCGTCACGTGTGGTTGGCGTTTGTGGGACCCTCCGTCCGCGATCTCCGCCGGGCTCCGGCCCACCTGCGCTTCCAGAGGCCGTCTCCGAGGGGCCCAGCCTTTTGCTGCACAGGAGAAGGAACAGCTCCAAGGTAAAGTTTAAAGGATGTTTAGCTTTTCTTGGGAAAGATGGATGGGGCTCTCTTGAAATGAGATTCGCACAGCTTCCAATGAACAGCTTCCCTGCTGGGCTTCACCACCATTTGCTAATATCAAATCAGCCATCCCCTCCCCTGAGGCCCCTTCTTCCTGCCCTCTGTCTCTCTAAACCTTGTTCCTCCATGTGTTCCTCATTCATTACCCCAAAACATTTGCAAAAGACCATAACACAGATATCAACTTATTTTGAAAAGGCTTTAAACTACATCAGAAATGAAACTGATTTGTTTTTCCCCAATTATAAAAGAATTGCCTTCTATGCAGAGGCTTATAAATGCCTGTACCTAGCGATAATGTCTGCAGATGAAATATATCCTTCCAGCTTTTTCCCCTGTGCCTGTACACCCCCCCCCCCACTTAGCAAGAATGGGACTCTTAAAAGGGGCAGGCTCATAACCCCTTTGAGCCATGGCCCTGTGCCCTTGGGAGCCAGAAAGCCTTTATTTCTTTTTAACAAGTGGGATGTACCGTGGGCTGTCGCTGGCCTCCAGCCGGGAAGCTCCGAGATCTTGTGGGAGGGCGTTGGAGCAGCACTGGGTCTCTCTCCAAACCGGGATTGATGAACTTGTCAGTGAGGAGGCTGGACGTGTGGGCTCTCGCCAGTCTGACTTCTGAGTGGGCTGCTGCATTGCTTCCTCACCCAGCTGCGTATGAGAACCATTTGAGTGTTGAAAACATGCCAGTGCTGGCAGGGTGCAGTGGGTCACACCTATAATTCCTGCACTTTGGGAGGCTGAGGCAGGAGGCTTGCTTGAGGCCAGGAGTTCAAGACTAGCCTGGTCAACATAGTGAGACTGTCTCTAAAAAAAAAAAAAAAGAAAAGAAAAGAAAAGGAAAATTAGCCAGGCATGCTGGCATATGCCTGTAGTCCCAGCTACTCAGGAGGCTGCAGTGAACTATGCTGATGCCACTGCACTCCCGCCTGGGCAACAAACAGAGCAAGACCCTGTCTCAAGGAAAGAAAAGAAAAAGCCAATGCCTGGGCCCCACCCAAGGCCAACTGGATAGGAGCTGCTAGGGGTTGTTGGGGGGAGCCCAGGGGTTGGTATCTTTGTTTTTGTTTGTTGTCTCGTGCTCCTTGTGTTCCGAGGGTGGCGGTGGTGAGCGGCCGGGGAGAACTGCTGGGCCCACAGGTAGAAGTGAAGGAGATTTCCTCCCGCTCTGCCTGCAGAGCCCGGTAGAGGGGTGTGGCCATTTGCAGTTGGCAGATGTTCACTTCCATTATTTCCTCTGCCACTCAGTCGTCTTTCAGTCATCGTTCTGCAGACAGAAAACTTAGGCTAAGGAGATCGGGGACTTTATCTGAGGACTCAGGATATGGCAGAGTTCAGACTTAAATCTGCATCTCCTGACCCCCACGATTAGCGCTGTTTCATTAGTATTTATAACGAGCGTATGGAGCATAAGCATGTTATAGTGCTTCATAATAACTGAGGCTTGGTCATCACGGCGTGCCGAGGGCTGGGGGCTGCCCTCTCTCGGAGGCGTCTGCCCATAGCAGGGCTGGTCTTCCCTTGGTTCCTGATGCCGTGTGCACCTGGCCAGCCTGGATCCACAGCCGCCCTCGGCCTGCCCTTGCCACCACCAGTCCCAGCTCTGGGCATGGCAGGGGTTAGCCCCATGTCACAGCTGAGGAGCGGGCTCTGAACACTCGCGGGTCTAGGTGGAGACCACCCAGCTGGCTCTCTGCTCCTCACCTGGACGTCTAGGAGGGAGCACAGCCCTGCGTGGGGCTTGCTTGTCTGGGCGCTCAGGGTCAGGAGCCCTGCTGGGGGTGTCCTGGTCTCTGGCCCACTCTCCCTGCCCCTCCCCCCTCGCTGCAGAGCCCGGCTCCAGCGGCCATGCCTGTGGGCCGGCCGGGCAGGCTGCCAGTGCAGGGAGCTAACGATGGGCTCATTGTTGGCTCCAGGAAGTGGTCAGCTGTGCCCTGGCGGGTCTGCAGAGCCGGAGGGCCAGCCTGCCTCGGACATGGCGGCTGGAGATGGGAGCCGGGAGCTGAGAGCACCGCTTTCCCGGAGCCCCGTGGCTCTGGGCCAGCCCTCAGGCTTCCTTTGGAAGGGAGGGCCCCCTGCGCCTGGCCACTCCTTCCCTTGCTTGGCATCCGCCCTCTTGCTCCTCAGCCTGGCTCTTGCCCGTCTCCCCACCCAGCCCTCTGCAGCAGAGTGCACACTCTTGGCAACGACAGCCAGTAAACCTGCTTCCCAGAAAGCAGGATGGCCGAGCAGGCAGAGTCAGCCAGCACCTCAGTGGGGGACGGGGCAGTGGGCATCGGCCCTGCTCGTCTTGCCCGTGTGCCCTAGGGGGCTGGCTTGGGACGTAGCCCTGTTATTTCTGCCCCAGGTAGCCAGTGTCGAGCCACGGCTGCTAGACCAGGCTGAGGCGAGAGCTCTGAGCTCTAGGAGTTGGGGTGGGACGAGCTTGGCCCAGGAATCTGAGCCTGAGGACCTTGGGTAAAGCCCCCTCCTTTCTGCGCCTGTTGCCTCATTTGTTTGATGGACATAATAGTTCCCTGTACTTTCTGGGCTTCCTCTGAATATAGACATGAAGTCCCTGCTGCCTTCCCTTCTTTTGTAGGAGTGCACTCGGCAGAGAGCTCTGTGGTGCCCGGCCCGGAGAGGGTTCGGTGAAGGGCGGGCGCGCTGCGCTGCTCAGGAAGTGACACTCGATCTGAACGTGCGGATGGAGCCCGCCTTCCTTGATCCTCCATGGACCACCTTTCCCGACAGCCTCCTCTCTGGCCCTCCTGCCCCAGCCGAACCGTGCTGGGATGGTGATTCTGGGTTAGAAAGTCCAGCTCTTGGTTCTGGATTCCTCCCTGGTCTGCACCGTGAGGCCCAGCGCCCATGCGGCCTTCTGCCCCGCTGGGGGTTTGTCCTGCAGGTCCAGATGCTGCCAGCGCCAAGGCGTTCCCGCTGGGCCTGGGCCAGAGTGGCCGCCGCAGAGCTCCTCCCTCCCTGCCAGCCTCCTCGGAGTGCTCCCTCCCCCAGCACAGGCAGGAAGGGCTTTCTGGGCGGCTTGACTGGTGGGGAAGCAATTAGTGCTCGCTTTCTGTTTTGACTCTGGTGTCTAGCAGAGTCTGTGACATCACAGAAAAGCAGCCTTGGGCTTGCGTGAGTTTGGGATCTGTCCCTGACACCCTGGCCATCGAGGAGTTGTCTGGGAGTAGGGGTGGGCACTCCCACTGCCCCCTGGGTATGAGGTGGCCATCTGCTGGCTTTCCATGGCCTTTCAAGGGACCACCTCTCCCCTACTCTGTATCCCTGTGGTTCAGGTAGGACCAGCCCCACCACTGGCTTTAGACACAGGCATGCGATCCAGGCCTGGGCATGGGTTCTTGAGACCCTGCTGTGGGCCTTCTGCAGCAGCTATGGGGAAAGAGGCATCCTCTTCATGTGGGAGTTGCTAGGTTGACAGGATGGGAGCTTGGAACTGCTGCTGGCTATCCTGTCCTCCGCTCGAGAACAAAGGCAACAAAGAAGAAAGAGAACTAAGAGTTGGAACGTATGCTGTCCAGATGTCCTTGAGCCCCTGGATCCAGCCATGCCTGAGGTGAACTCTGCCCGTGGACTAAACTGATTACATGAGCCAGTGCATTGCTCTTTTTCTAAAACCGGCCTGAAATGGGTTTCTGTCACAGAAAGGGTCCTAATAGAGGTAATGTTTTTCCTTGGTCTTATTTTTTTTTAAAATCAGCTTCATTGAGGTATACTTTACATGTAATGAAACCCACCCGTTTTAAATGTATGACTCACACGTTTTGTCAAATGTGTACACCCTTGTAACCACCACCACAATTAAGATCTAGAACATGTCTTATCTCCTGGGGGACATGGTCAGTCCCTCAGACCTCAGACAACCACTGCTCTGCCTTTGGTCTGGAGTCTCATTTTGCCTTTTCTACAATTTCATATAAAGATTTTCACGGAGCGTGTATTCTTTTGTGTCTGGTTTCTTTTACTCGGCATGTTTTTTTGAGATGCATCCACGTTGTTGCATCGACAGCTCATTCCTCCGTATCGCTGGGTAGCATTCCCTGGTGTGGATGTGCCACCGTTTATCCACTGAGCAGATGATATTTGAGCGGTTCCCAGGTGTTGGCTATTATGAATGAAGCTGGTTTTTTTTTTTTTTGAACACTCACCTCTCTTTCACCTTCTTTGTGTGGGTGTATGTTTCAATTTTTTTATACCTAGACATCAGTCTCGCTTTACAGTTGAGGAAACTGAGGTTTAGAGAGGTGGGGTGACTTGTCCAAAGTCACACGGCTGGTGATCGTGGCGCTGGCACAGGTTGGAGCACAGCTGGGGCAGGGATGCAGCCGGAGTAATGGAGCGCGGCGTTTGCGAGTCCCTTAATAAAGGAGGCCGGGACGGGACTGCCTGGGGAAGGAGCTCGAGGAATCCTGGTGCCCAAGAACGTCGTCGCAGGGAGGGACAGTCGAGGTGAGCCACAGCCTTGCTCCTCACCTGTCCCCCTTGGACTGCGGGGTTTGAAAGATGACATCTACCAAGGAGACTGCACACGTGGAGCCAGAGTCCGCTTCCCCACTTGTATTCTTCCCGACCTCTCCGGAGGCACCCGTCCGAGCGGACTGTTCCGTCACTGCCGGCCAGCCTGGAGTTGAAATCATTCCAGCTAGAAACAGAGACCTGGTTTTTTGTTTGGCTCAGCACCAACAAATCGTGCGCTCCTCCCGGAAGTCTGGAGGGTGTCAAGTTGGCAACCCCGCTTTAGTCCAACCTCCCATTCACACATGCTTCAGCCAGGGAAACCGAGGCACGGAGGTGTTAAGTCACGGCTGGAGTGTGGGTCTGTGCCTCCCCAGCTCCTCCTGCCCGCCAGACTCTTGGCTGCCTGCTCTGCCTTCGCCACAGCTGTGGCTGGAGGACTCCACGGGGTCCCCAGAGCTCCACAACTGAAGCCGACCGGCTGCCATTCCAGGGTCTGACCCACCCCGGGCCACATCCCAGGGCGTGGGACCTGGCTCCCAGGTGGCTGCCACGGGGGTTGGAGAAGGCGGCCCAGGAGTCGGGGTGGGGACAGTTGTCCTATGGGATGAACTTTGAGCAATAGGAAGTGGGAGAATAGGTTCCTCCTTCCTCCCCGCCTGGGGCCGCGGCCTGGCCCGCCGTGAAGCGTGGCGGAGCGGTCACACATCATGTCACCTGGCTTCCCGTCCTTCCCTGCCTCCTTCTTCTCCCTCGCTCCTGCTGCCCCGGGATTCAGCCTCACATGAAAGCATCAGCGCCTCATCCCTTGCCAAGGGCTCTGTTTCCTGGAGGACCAGGCAGCCTGGCCCCAGGGCCGTGCTGCTTCGGCACAGCGGAACCAGAGGGGAGATGCTTGGGACTGTGAGTGAATGAATGAATGAATGAGTGATTTACCTCTCATTGCTGGGGGGATGGTGCCAGGCTCGTGGGAGACGATTGCCCTTTATCTCTTCCCTCCATTCACTGGGTCTGATCAGCCAGATCTCTCTGACCTGCTGTATTTCGGAGCCCGGGGCCCCTCCACTAACGTCTCTGTGTGGTTCAAAAAAATCCACACTCCCTGTTCCTCCACTTAACTAGGTGTGTGACATTGGCAAGGGACTCTGCCTCTCTGAGCTGGTGTCCCCCTCTGTACAATGAGGACAAGAACAGTCTCACTGTATAGGACTGCTGGCGGGGGGGGGGGTAACTTAGTTCATGCCTAGTGCATGGGTGTGGGGGGCGTTATCGGGTTGCCTGCCCACCATCCCTTCCCATAACAGCCCCCTGTCTTTTGGAAGCCACTGTTCCCCCAGTCCCAGTCTCAGTCCCTGCTGAGTAAACAGTGCTGTCCTCGCCACCCCATTCCCAGGCCTGCTGCCAGATCCAGGTCTGTCACCATGTCCCCTGCTGTGACCTGGGCAAGAATTGGCTCAGACCTGGGCATGGGCCCCACGTCAGGCCAGTCACTGGAACAGTGCCCTGAAGTTTTGCTGGAACAATCAGGAAAGGGGACTTATTCTTTGCTGAGATCGTTTGCTTGAAGCTACTGAAGGGCATTTTTTACTATTTGGCTATTCAAGAATGAAGTCAGTAGAATGAAGTCAGAAGAAAGTGGAGCCAAGAGATGCACAGAACACAGAGTCCCGATGATATCTTTGTAGCTCCTGGATTCAGCCTGGCCAGAAGCTAGTTAACCCTTGGTGTTTTTTTTACGAATTAATACATTAGCCACAATTTTCCTTTTCATTTGCTTAAACCAGTTTGACTTGAGTTGCTGTTACTTAAAACTGAAGTGGTCCTGATTAATACAGTAGGTTCTCTGTGAATGATCACTGCTGTTATTGCCGCAAATACTAGTGTAACCACACCACCGGGAAGATGCAGCCATGGGGTGCCTCTGGTCCTCTCCCGTGATGCCCTGGATGGGGGGTCCCAGTGGCTGGGCGGATTTGCCTGTTTGCTGCTGGTCTGTCCCTGGCAGATGGTAGGTGACTGATACCTGCTGAGTGAACAAATGAAGTAGGCCCGTTGTCCATCATCTCATCCAATGTGCCCTCCCAGTCCTCATGCCAGGGGACACAGTTTGCCCTCTCTGCTTGTCCTTCGCTGACCTCTGAACCCACCGGAGTGGCTGGCAGGAGTCTGTCCTGGCAAACTGATCTCTTATTTTCACAATTTCCCATTTTCCTAGAAAGTGTCCTTTCCTAAGGCCTCATTCATTCCTTTATCTGTTCAATACGTTCAATTTTTAAAATCTTTATGAATAAGTGTCCATTTTGCCAGGTCCCAGGGAGGGATGCAGAAATGAACAATGCTTTGCCTGCCTTCATGGAGCTTCTGTTCTAGTGGGGATGTACGTTGACAATCTTGGTGCAATCAGGTTATTTTAGGCATCTGGATATTTCTTCTATAGGCCAGAAAACGAAGCAGCTCTAAGGAGAATATTTTGGCCAGAAGCCAAGTTGAAATTAACATAGCTTATCTATCACTGGAGAAAAAGTTGGTGATGTGAGCCCATGGCCCTGGGACTCTGGGAGGGAGGTGCCTGCCATGTGCCACGCTCTGTACTCAGCTTCCCAAACCAATTGAATTGCTAACTTGGAATCTCTGTCCTGTTCTCCTGGTGGAGAAATAGGCCCAGAGAGGTGAAGTAACTTCCCTGAACCTATCATTGATGGTGCTATAACGGGGAGCCCCTGGAGGGCCCTGGGAATTGATAAGACTTCACTTCCCAGCTGGCAGTGGATCATTGTCCTCTGGCTCCCATAGAACCTTGCATGGATATTATTGTCGCTGTTTGCATTTCTCCTTTGGATAACAGTGATTCGTTTCCTTGTCTACATCTTCCATCCCAACTCCCAGTAAGAGCTCCCTGTTGCAGCCATTTCCACCTTGCACCTTGTACCAGGGACTGGCCCATGTCCCAGTGCCACGATCGTCTTTGGTTTTGTCCCAGCATCTGTTCTCCCTTTCCAATACTAGCTCCCCGCTTCCGTGGAGAACTGCTCCCCTAACACCCTTATCTGGTCCTGGAGCACTTTAACCTTCCTGGCAACCAGGTGGTCACATGACCCAGGTGAGGCCAATCATGCCCTGGATTGGTCCAAGGGCTGGATATGTGATCCAATCAGGGTCCTCTCCTGGAATATTCTGAATTTTCCCCTTGGATCGTGAGCTGTTAAGTCTCTGACCCTGGAGCTACCAGTGGCCGGTGGTGGAGCCTGATAGAACGAGGCCCTGAAGCAATCAGCTGAGATCAGCCCCTCTGCCTTTCTGTGTCTGCCTTATATGAGACAATAGATTCCATCCCCTTTTTACCTTTAAATTATTATCAAAACAATACACAAACATGGTAAATCAAATACAGGTTGACTATCTCTTATCTGAGATGCTTGGGACAAGAAGTGTTTTGGAGTTTGGATTTTTTTGGATTTTGGAATATTTGCATCATACTTACTGGTTGAGCATCCCAAACCAGAAATCCAAAGTGCTTCGATAAGCATTTCCTTGAGCATCATGTCAGTGCTCAAAACATTTCAAATTTTGGAGCACAAATTCAGATTTCAGATTTCCAGACTTGAGATGCTCACCCTGAAGTACAAAAGAGCTTTTAAAGGAAACCCCCAGACTCCTGCCCTAGTCTTCCCTCTTCAACCCAGCTTCACTCCAGAGGCAAACTGTTTTACATATTTCCTTTGGCATTTTTTTAAGTTGATGCCTCCATAATTCTAGATCATATTTATACATCTATTTCTTGATTTATAACTTTGGACCAATATCCAGTGACTTTTCTGTAAGGTACATGAGAATTTAGGTTACTTACACTCCTAGCTTCCTTCCTCTCAATTTTGAAATGTATAGTAAACATATCTACTGACTACCCATATTTAAATGTCTATTTCTTTTGTTCAACTTTAGGCAGGTTTTTTTGCCTCCTTTTTAGGATAACGATACGTATGGATGTGACTATCATTTCTATTCACATCCCACCTTTGTCAGCTGTGATGTTTTTGCATTGTCCATGCTATTGACATTCAGTTCTTTTCTACGCCACAATCAAGTTTTTGCAGTTTTGTCCATCGGGTGACTCAGAAGATTAAAAGCCAAGAAACAGCATTTATAAGATTATGATTGTCAAATACTGTTTCCTTTCAACTCTCCCTTTTAACCTAAGCTAGTTTGATGTGGGCCTGTGTTGGTTACAGCCAGTGTGTCCTGACTTACACACTCAAGCTTGTCGAATCAGATGAGCTGTGTCCACGTGCCTTCAAAGCAGGCTGGGTCAGAACTCACCCAGGGCCGGCTCCGTGGGCCTGTGACCTGCGCAGTCACAACAGAGCCCTGCGCTCAGAAGGGCCCCGCACTTGGTTTAATGCTCCGCTGGTTGTCACCATCTTGAAATTCTTAATAATTTTGAGCAAAGTGCCCCACAAATTATGTAGCCTGTCTTGAGTGCAGC